TTATGAAAATTAATAAAATATAATTATAGAAAAAAAAAAAGACAAAACAAAACAAAACCCTTATGGCACTTTAAGAAGCCTTGGTGGCACATGGGTTACGTAACAAGCTGCTAACTAAAGGCCAGGCTTTCAATTCACTAGCCACTCTGTGGGAGAAGGATGAGCCAGCCAGTCAGCTCCCCTTAAGGTTTACAACCTTAAAACACAATGTACACACCACAAGATAAACAACCCAGTTGCAAAATGGGCACAGGATATAAACAGACACTTCACCAAAGAAGACATTCAGATGGCCAACAAGCACATGAAGAACTGTTCAAAATCCCTATTTCTAAGAGAGAAAGTGGAACCCTTATTTCACCGTTGGTGAGAGTATAAAACGGTGCAACCACTGTGGAGGTAGTATGGTGCTTTCTCAAAAAGCTGGAAATAGAAACATCATTTGATCTAGCAATTCCACTACTGGGAATATACCCTAAAGAAACTAGAACTGCCACCCAAACAGATATATGCACACCTATGTTTATTGTTGCATTGTTCACAATAGCAAAGAGATGCTTTATCCTGGAAGACATTATGCTGAGTGAAACATCTCAGTCACAAAAAGACAAATACTATATAATGTCACTGTTATAAAACAGGACTGACATGGGTGTTGGGGGAAAACTAAGAAAAGAGGGGATAAATAATGTATACTACATTGAAACAGATGAGGGAAAGAACTGTTTAAAATGAATATATGATTAGGTATTATGTCAGAATAAGAGCTGTATAGCAAAGTGAAATGGGGGGAGGGGGAGGAAATTGTACAATAATAAAAGAATTCTTTTTCAAAGAGAAAAGCGAACTGGGGGGTAGGGAGGAAAATGAACAACAATAAATGAATGGAAATCCAAGTTCTTTATAAACTTTGTTTAAAATCTCAACCAAAAGAAAAAAAAAATTTTTTTAAACCCACAAAAACACAATGCATTGTCACCACGATGAAGGGTTACCATCCGTGGAATTGACTCCACAGCAATGGGGTTGGTGGTGCTATAGGAAACTCCCATGGTGAGATGGGTTAAATGCTGGGCTGCCAAGTGAAAGGATGGCATTTGAACCCAACAGGTACACCTTGGAAGAAAAATTAGGCAATGTCACAAGGCTGTGAATAAATCCTACAAAGACTTACAGCCTTAGAAATCCTATGGGGCAGTTCTATTCTATTCTATAGAGTTGCCAGGAGTGTAGTTGATTCAAGAGCACTGGGTTTTGGGTTTGATAGTGCTATAGTTTGGCGTTCAAACCCACCCAGTGGCTCTCTGGGAGAAATGCTCCTGTAAAGTCTACCAAAAAAGTCCAACATGCAAACCACAACTCTCAAATAAATATCAACAAATAACCTAAAAATCCTATGGGGCAGCTCTACTCTGTCACAAATCTGTCTATGAGCTGAAAAATTACTTGATGGGTCCTACCAACAGCAATGTTGCTCCCCTGCTGTGTCTCCAGATGGACTCTGACTCACGTGACTCTGAGGAGCAGAGCAGAGGCACCCTACAGGGTTTCTAGAACGTACTCTTTACTGGAGCAGACTACCAGTGCTTGACTCCGAGTGACCTGCTGGTGAGTTCAAGCACTGAGGTCAGCAGCTGGACATTTATCCATCGTGCCACTTGGGGGATAGTGAGGGCAATTTCATAGTTCAATTTGGGAAGCTCTAGTGGTGTAGACTGTAGGAAGCAGTGCTGTTTTCCCAAAGACCTATGCCAAATCTACTAGGCTCCAGAGGAAAAAGACGAATAATCTCCTGTTCTATAATTTAAAGCCTCAGAAACTCACTAGAGATAGCTATGAAGTAGCTCGGATTTGACAGCTATCAGTGAGTGGTTACATGATTTGGGTTTTCAAAGAGTGGTAATAATTAGATAATTATGCAACATGAAAACTGCCTCCTAGTTCATTACCACCATCTTCAATGCAACACTATCAAGAATATATTTTTACTGTTATTTCTACCATTAGACAAGTATGTGAAGAAACTGGCTGTTCTACTCAGTGGCTCAATACTGACACCTTGTGGTAGCTGCTCCACAACTAGGAAGTATGACCTAAAGCATTTCTATTTTTAAAGGATTCTTTTTTTTTATTAAATTTTTTAAATTATTAATTTCAATGAAAATTTACAGAGACTTTGGATTTCGATCACATCTTGAAAGGATTCTATGAAGAATATAATTTACTTTAGAAGTAGTGTTGAACGAGGAAAAAAAAAGTGCCGAGCATGTAACAGAATTAGTCACAGTTATATTTTAAAACAGATATATGGTTTGACTATAGACATAGGCATTTTCTTTCTTAATGGAGCTCCTGAAGGGCCCTGCATTTTGAAATAGCTTACAATACGTACACATGTGTTACCTGATTGTTTTAACAGCTTCTTCATCTCTCTCAACATCAAGATCAGATGGATCCAGGAAGAACATTTTATCCTCTGGGGGAGATGGCTCTTCTGTGTCATCCAAGCCTCGACTACAATCACTGTTTATGTCACTACTGTCAATGTCCATGGGGATATCTGTATCTGTCCCCAAACTGGAAGGTTCTGTAAAAGTTTAAGACGAATTTAAGAATTTTGTATTAATAGAATGTCAATATTTCTAAACAGAGTCAGTCTATTACATATGAAAGTTCAAAAACTCTTAAAAACATAAGGTTAACAAAGGGAGAAAAACATTCCAAAAGACTTAATACCTTCATGACTCATAATAAAAAGGTTATATATTAAAAAACATATAATATACCAAAAAATCATAAAATCCATTTATATATGCCAGAATTTGAAATTTCTGAATGGAAAAAGATGTACTCTATGAGTACAGTGAAAAGATAAGCCATCGTCTTTATTTGTATGAATAACTGATCTTCAACAAGAATAGCAAAGATAATTCAGTGTGGGATAAATCATCTTTTTAACAAGTGCTGCTAGGACAATTGGCTATCCAAAAGTAAAAGAATGAAGTTGGATCCTTTTTCTTGAATCCATGGGAAATGAACTAAAAGAAGACCAAAGACATACAAAAAGAATGAAAAGTATGCAACCTCTGGAAGAAAAGAAAGGAGTAAATCTTTATAGCCTTGAATCACACAGCCTTTTTAGATACAACAAATACTAAAAGCACGTGACAAAAGAAAAAGAAATTAGACTTACAATAATGTGTGTGCAACACATAGTAAATTAAGGGAGTAAAAAGGAAACATACAAAATGGGAAAATGTATTTGAAAATTATCTATCATGGGAGCTCTGGTGGCCAAGTGGCAAGAATCTGTGCTGCAATCCTGAAGGCGCACGGGATTCGAATCCACCAGATACTCTGCTGAAGATAGAGGGGCAGTTTCCCACTGTGTCAGTCAGATTCGATTCGATGGTACACAACAATTACAAAACAACAACCCCACCACAAACAAAAATCTGTGCTGTAATTCTGAAAATTATGCATCAGAGAAGGGATTTATACCTAGAATAATTAAAAAACTCTTGTAACTAAATTAAAATAATCTCCCCCAATAAAAATATAAATAGCCCAATTTAAATTGGGCAAAAGATCTGAAAATATATTTCTCCAAAGAAGACATACAAATGAGTAGTAAGTATTTAAGAAAATACTCAACGGCATTAGCTATAATGGAAATGCAACTTAACAGCACAGGGATGTATCATTTCATACCCACTAGGAAAGGTTATAGGGAGCTCTGAGTGGCTTTGTGGTAAGAAATCACACTGGCAACCCAAAGGCATGCTTCCAGCAGCTGCTGTGCGGGAGAAGATGGGTAGTCTCCTCCCAAGTGGTAACATCCCTCTCATACCTGCTGGGGGTCAGCTATCAGTTGGTTCTGACTTGATGGTACATAACAACAGCAGGTTATAAAAAAAGTGCTAGTGAGGATATGATGAAATTTTAAACCTTAGAGATTACTGGTGGGAATGTAAAACGCATATACTAGCATCTACTTTAGAAAACAGGTTGGCAGTCCCTTAAAATGCTAAATGTGGAGTTACAACAGGATGCAGCAATTTCATTTCTAGATATATACTCAAGAAAAGTTAAATATAAAGGCTGTACATGAGTATTCAGTTGTATTTTCCCCCATATTCTCAAAGTGAACACAATTTTAATGCCCATCAACTGATAAATGGATCCAGTATACAGCTAAATAGGAATATTGCTTAATGATATATAAGAATGAAGTATTTACATGTTACAACATGAAGGTTAAAAAAGAGTTAATAAGTTAAAAAGGTTAATAAGTCACTTAAGCCCTTAACTTAAAAGCTCTGGTGGCCTACTTGGTAGGATATTGTGCTGCCAACCTAACGGCTGACAGTTCTGACTCAACAGCAGAGGGAGTGAGTGGAGAAAGGAGAAAGACAGAAAGGGAGAGGGAGATAGAGAGAGACAATGACCATGTAAGGGAGATCTGGTGGCCTAGATCATACGAGGTAGAAATATGGGCAATCTCTTCCTGTGTGATTTATATATAATCTCAGAAAAAAAACAAAACAAAACCTCCCACAGGAGTGTCAGCTATGAGTTGACTTGGCTCAACAGAAATAAGTCTGAAGTGTTTTGTGCTTTTTTTTTTAAGGCCACATAATGTATATTATTTATGTGAAATGTTTAGAAAAGACAATTGCTTCTTGTTGCATATCATCAAGTCAGAGCCGACCCATTCCCTGACCCTCCAGTGGGTTTTCAGAGGCCGTAAATCCCACGGGAGGAGACTATCCATCTTTCTCCCAGGGAGTGGCTGGTGTTTATTTAACCTTGTGCCTCTGGGACTGCTGCACAGTTTCTCACCATTAGACCACCAGAGCTCCTGAGTATGCAATTTCTTTCTGGGGTGATAAATACTCTAAAACTGGGTAGCTGTGGTGGTTGTATAAATCTGCAACCATAATAACTAAATTCAGTTATAAATTATTATTGTTGTATGAGTTGCCTGCAACTCCAGAGTATTCCTACATACAGTAGCTCTAAATTATGCCCCTTCCTGAGCCAGTCTCACTGTCTCTGACACACTTAGCCCCATTACTCCAGTTGTTGTGTCAATCATCTTAACTGGGGTCTGCCTTTCCCGCACTGTCCCTCCACCCTTCCAAGCATGATGTCCTTCTTCACGAACTGATCCCTCCTGGCAACATGTCCAAAGTATGTAAGATGGAGCTTCAAAATCTTTACCTCCAAGGAGCAGCTTGATTTCACCCTCTCTAGAATAAACCTGTTTGTTCTCTTGGCAGTCCATAGTATGCGCAATACTCTTAAAGCACCAAATTCAAAGACAATGATTCTTCTGTCATCCTTAGTCACTATCTAGCTCTCTGATGCATAGCAAATAATTGTGAAGACCAAGGCCGTAATCAGGTGTACCTCAGTCTCTAGACTGTCATCATTGCTCTTTAGCATTCTAGAGAGGTTCTTGACAGCAGATTGTTCTAATGCAATCAGTCTTCTGATTTCCTGACTGCTGGTGCCAAGAGTGTTGATTACAGAGCTAAGCAAAATGAAATTGTTAATAATAACTATCTCAATCTCCACTTATGATGCTGTCAACTGGCTCAGTTGGCCCAGAGAATACTGGTCTTTTTTTTCTTAAAAGAAACCCAAAACTTTGTCTTCTTGATGTTGAGCTTCAATTCATAATAAATATTACAGTCTTTGACCTTCTGAAGCAAATGCTTTAGGTCCTACTCAGTTTCAGCAAGCAAGGTTGTACACCATTTGGATAACCCAAGTTGTTGATGCATCTTCTTCCAATCCTGATGCTACATTCTTCCTCATAAAGTCCAGCCTTCTGAATGATCTGTTTTGCATACCCACTGAAAAGGTATGGAGACAGGATGCATCCCTGACACACTCCTTTCCTGATTTTGAACCATGCAGTGGTTCCTTGCTCTGTTCTGACAACTCCTTCCCAGTCCAAGTTAATAGGTTTTGAATGAGCATAATCAAGTACTCTGGGATTCCCATTCTTCTGAAAGTTAGTAAAGATCTGTTGTGATCCACACATATGCCATTGAATAGTCAATGAAATACAGACAGAAATTCCTCTGGTGCTCTTTGCTTTTAGCCAAGATCCATCTGACACTGGGGATAGTGCCACAGCCTCTTTTTTTTTGAAAACTGGCTTGTATTTCTGGTAGTTCTCTGTCAATTTACTACTGTTCCAGTCATTTTAAAATAATCTTAGCAGGATTATGCTTATGTATAATTTTTTTTTATATAATTTACACATTCTCTTGGGTCATCTTATTTTGGAATGGGAATAAATATGGCTTTCTTCCAGTCCACTGGTCAGATACCTGTTCTCAGCACAACCTGGTGAGTGCATCCAGGGAAGCAGCTGTTTGTTGAAATATGCCAATTGATATTCCATTAATTCCTGGGGCCTTGTTTTAGGACAATTTCTTCTATTTCAGTAAAACTCACTAAGAAAGACAAATTACTGGCTGAGGAAAATATTTAAAGTATGCTGTGGATTTATCATTAGCTCCTGTGTAGAAACAAAACAAACAAAACCTTTTAAAATTAGCTCCTGTGTAGAAACAAAACAAACAAAAACTTTTAAAGCATCTGACCAAGCAATTTAAAGCTGGGGGGTGGGAGCGAACTCCTAAACAACCAATGAACAGTGAAAAGATACTTAAACTCACTAATAATCAAAGAAATGTATGTTACATATGTTAGTGTTTTCATCCACCGTACAATAAGTAAACAGCCCTGGTAGTTGTTAAAACAGTCAGCTGCTAACCAAAAGGTTGGCTCAGCAGAACAAAGATGTGGGAATTCTGTCCATAATTCTTTCAAGTTAAGAGTTAACTTCTGTGAAGGTTTACAGACCTCGGGGTGAGTGTCATGTGAGTTTTGGTATGAAAGGTGGAAAACCACAAAAAATACAACTTCATTATCTACAAATGCAGGTAAAACTTCAGTTACAAGAAAAAAACCTGCATTAATTTAGATTAACTGAACAGAAAAATCCAATCATACTCTATCAATGGTATTAATAAGCAATTACAAAAAACATGTCATAAAGAAAAACATTAAGTTCTAGAATAGTTCCAAATTTATGCTTTTGCTTCTACAGAACTGATTACTGTTATCAGTTATGTGATTGTTTTTTTTCTAAATGCTTACTGTTTAGTGATTTCTCTTTCCTTTCTCCCAAAAACCAAAACTAGTTTATTATTATCTTGAAAACAATGACCAAATGCAGGAAATATTTGGCTGCTGATTATCTGATGGAGAAAGGGATGATAAAGCAGTGCATGTGTTTTATTGACTATAGATCATTGCCATTTATTGGTTGTTACTTCCTTAGGCAAGTTAGTAAACTTCCATGCCTTAGTTTACTAGCCTGTAAGTAGGAATAATAACAGTGTTTAAAAGAGAATGTGTACTAGTAGCTCTATTAAAATGTTGGACTACAAGGAAGTACATTGCTACAGGAAAAGTAGAAAGATCACTCAATGTTGTTGTTGTTGTTATGTGCCGTCGAGTCGCCTGCGACTCATAGCGACCCTATGTACAACAGCCCTAAACTCCGCTCTGTCCTGTGCCAATCG